TGTGTGTGTGTGTGTGTGTGTGTGTGTGTGTGTGTGTGTGTGTGTGTTTATTATCCTGCGTCCAGTGTGTGTGCGTGCTGATAGTCTTCAATCAGGAGAAACACCTCGCCAGGCTAATCTAAACACTGCTCCGCCCGGGATCGGAGCGGCCTACAAATGATTATTTGCACAATGGAAACTGTTGCAGCTCACCGTTTGTCGTTGCCACAAACCTGTTTTATTGCCATGCTGTTCTTCTCATGCTTTTATGTAATAGCAATAGTGCACAGTTGCCCTTGAGAGCAAAACTAGCTGTCTTTGATGCTGAGATCTGTGCAGGCAATACTGAGCATGAGTCATCCGGAAGCCCACACACACACACACACATACTTTTCAGCAGCAGCCTTTCCATGCTCAGGAATCACAGCATTGTCATGCAAACATTAGTGGCTGTTTTAAAAATATTTCTTATTGAAAGCAGAAAAACTTGTTTTTTAATGGGAAACGGTACTTTTTTTTAAAAAATGTGTGTTTTTTTGGTTGTATAATTTAACTTTATCTGCCTGATTTTCGGGCAACATTTTGTCTGCCGCTTGCTTCAGTACGCTAACTTCCTGAAGATGAGTAACAGAATAGGAAGTCCCCAAAGAGGCCTGGGCCTGATAAACATCATATGTCATGTCACACACCAAACTGCATTCATGTTTTATAGTCCATAGTTTAATATGTGCATAATTCTTGCCTGTGGTAGAAGGTTGAACCCAAAAATATGTTTCTGTGTACTTGACGAAAACCGACCCGTGCCCATAAAGTTGAGCTCCGGTGCCTTCGCTAGCAGACGTAGCTTTATGTAAGTGTTTACATAATATTCCTGACTGACATTGTCTGCAGGCTTTAGCTGTGGGTGGTGGAGAGTCTTCAGACTTCTTCACGATCACAAACTATGACTTACGGTTTGTGTTGATGGTCAAACTATTTACTGGTGCTTTCTGTGACCGCTGTGACTTGATGACTATCTCTTTAGCTCAGCAGCGATTTTACAGTGAGCCAGTCCTGCCCTAATGTAGCACCGTCTGCTTGTAAACAGTGAGCGTTTGTATGACTCATGACCTGCAAATGTGAGTTAAACTTGTTATCTTATGGTGAATTAAAATGAAGAGAACCAGATTTTTCAATTCAAATTTCTGGTTTATTGTGTTTCTTTACTTCTTAAAGCAGGAAGGCATGTTTTTTTATTTATTTAAAGTATCTAAAATATCCTCAATGCTTTTAAACATACTTTTAAACTGACTGTTTGGAATTGTAATTTCAGGTGTCATCAATTTGTGGTTGGTGTTTTTATGCTTGTAAGAGCCTACAAGATATTCGTACAGTCCCACCTTTTTGTGAAAGAAGAAGCTCACTGGAAACGATCAGCTTGTAGTTGTGTTTTTAAACCCAATGCATTTGCTGGGTTTCATCAGATTAACATTTGAGACAACTCCATGTTCCATATGATGTTCTCTGTGGAAAGTTAATGTCTTTTCTCTCTGTGTTCGTTGCAGGTCTTCCACCTTCTCCTTCCCGGGACAGATGTTGAGGCCAGAGATCAGCCTGTCCAACAACTGTTAGAGGCGACCGGGTGAGGACGGGGAGGAGTGCCGGTTTTACTCCGCCGGCTTTTGTCTCATGAGAGTGACCGTGCCATCCAGGCACTGCCAGTAACCAGGGCTGTGGCTGTGGTGGGCCCGGCCCAGGAGGCCTTTTTGTACATCACTCCAGGCTCCCGCTGACCTGTGCTGCTCACACCATGGATCAACCGAGAGATAAATATGGCGAGCGGCCCGCCAGGACCACTAAAGTTTCCCAGGGAAGCCGCAGCGGACACTCGTCCCGACCATCTGGCTCCTCCAGCTCCTCCGGGGTTCTCATGGTGGGGCCAAACTTTCGTGTGGGCAAGAAGATCGGCTGTGGAAACTTTGGTGAATTGAAGCTCGGTAAGTAGTTTTAATCATGTGTGAAATGGTTTAATACACAACGGAGCAACTGAGGGAATTTGGAAGTTTTTATGTCACTTCATAAACTGCAGACTAAGTAGTTACACACAGAACCATTGTTAGGTACACCTAACCCAAACTAATGCAACCTTATACAACAGTAAAGAAATGTTCAGTTTTAATTCAAACCGTTTGAGAGAGATATCGATACTTTATGGTTATTTTGAAGGCTGTAGTTTGTGGTGCTGTTGAATTGTATTGCATTATACTGAGGTGTTTCTAATATTGTGTCCACACCCGTTTATATGACTGCAAAGGCGCTGATACTTTGGTTCCATTCCACGCATAACATAAAGCACCGTAAACTAATGATGTCATGAAGAGCGTAAAGCGTGATGACCTAATAACGGAAGCCTGAAAGAATGAATGCTCAAAATATTATCTTTCTTATTTTAGACGGATTTAAACAGGATCATTCAAACCATCAGCGGGAGGTTTGCTTTAAAGGGTTAAACCAAAACCTCTCAAAACTGAACGTTATAACTTCATGACAAAACTGTTTTTTGGGCTGTTGTATTAGAATGCATTGTCTTTAGTGAGGTGTACCCGGCAACTGAGTATATTCAAGGAGAGCTGGAAAAAAGGAGCACGATTGCATCATTTTCTGTTATAGACCTTTTTTTTACGTGGATCTTCCAAAATTTAAAAAGAACACTCAATCAGACACAATCACTTACGGTGTTGCCTATTACCCGGGGAACCTTTTGTAAAGCCTGAAGTGGTGTACTTCATTTTAAAAAGCCATCTTCTCTGTCTTATTCCAGGTAAAAATCTCTACACCAACGAGTATGTAGCTATTAAACTGGTAAGTGAACACTTTCTCTCTCTCTGCATGACTCCATACCTCTGCTGATATAACAATCTCTTGCAAAATGATGGATTAAAAGCTGTTATGCAGGTGCACAATGAAGCACTCTGTCTACTTTATTTAAGTGACGTGTCTAAAATGTTACTGAAATTATATCGTATCCTGTCAATGCTGTGTTCAGACAGGGAAGCTGCTGTTAAGCTTCAAGTAGACACAGACTGCATGTTCTTCATTGCAGTTGATTTCCAGAAATATGACTCTCAGGATGTGCTCGGGTGTCACAGTGAGGAGATGAGATGACTGGAGGTCATGACTCCTGACTCGCGCTTTTATAATTGTTTCACTAGAGAGTAGTAGATACAAAATTACAACACTAAAGTATTAAGTTTGCTAAAGCAGATAGTTCTCAGCTGCTCATAGTACTGTATGGTGTCCCGACACTGATGACATTTTATACAAGTGAGGAATGTTTCAATAAATATGTGTTGAGTTTCTAAACATCAATAAACTGGGGAGACATTTCAGACTTTGGGTGCTTTTATGTGACTGGATTGTCCCTGTGACTAGATTATTATTGAACATTTTTATTCATAAGTTTCCTACACTATCAACTGGGATGTTTGGGTGGAGTGTAACTTCGTAGCTTGGGAAAAAACCTTCAAAATGGCGACTGATTTTAATCTCAGGTGACAGGACATCATTTACACCAGAGCTGCTGGTGGTGTTTGTGCAAAACTCAGGGTTTTATATGTCTTAAGTGCAAGATAAGTCATAAAAATATATCTTTCTACTCATGTAAAGTATCTTTGCTGTATTTTCTTTTGACTGTTTTATTCCAGTTTGTGAGGTTCTTGCTATTAATTGCGTGCTGGTTTGAATGTGTCCGCTGTACAGGAACCAGTGAAGTCGAGGGCACCACAGCTGCATTTAGAGTACCGGTTCTACAAAACACTGGGAACCACAGGTAAGGTCACAGATGTGCTCGCTACTCCCCGTGGTGCGTTTTCTTTTTTTTTTTTTTGTGTGAGACTACATCACGATGATTTGACTGTTTTGGGAGATTAGTCCAGCAGATTGCATCATTTCCACAACAAGTGATTACTCCACTCTGGTTACGTATTGATTTTAAGCTGTGTCAGCAACTCTTTTTAATTTCCAGGACTCTGTGTCCACGAGTGCGCGTACGATGCATAGAGAGCGTGGTGACCTTGCATGTAACGCTTCAATGTGGAAGGTGTTGACATAATGCTTCTTATACACCCGCAAAGCAGATGCAGCAGCTGATTTTTATTTACTTATCCACTGGAAAGACTTGTTAATCGAGGCAGAATGTGCAGGAAGATGTCACCTCTGTTCAGTGTTGCAGTGTAGACTTAATGCACGTGTGTCCAATGTCCATCTCTGATTGAGCTAACGATAACTATTCAGTGACTCGTGTGGGTCTAGTCTGGGTGTGTTGTAACATGTGTGTACATAGTGAACACCTGTGGCTTTTCAAACATAGACATTTCATTTATTTTGGACACTTGCTGGCAGTGAACACAACACTGACATATCACCTTTATTAAGTTGATCATTTTAATTTCAGTGCAGTACTGCGTCTAATGTAGCACTTCATTAGTTCCGGTGTTGAATGACAAATGACTCCAAACCAGATCGATTTTTCTGGTGTCTGTCATCGCTGGTCAAGATCGCTGTGACCTCACGTCTGCTCCGTTCTCGTGAAAGCGATATCTCTGGAATGCCTCGAGGGACATTCTCTAAATTTGGCACAAACGTCCACTTGGATTGAAAAGATGAACTGATTAGAGTCCGGTGGTCAACAGGTTATTGTGACCATAACTCAAGAATGAATATGCTAATTATGCTAATGTCACACAAATGTCTTGCATAAAACGATGAGGTGATGACATTTTGGACAGACGTGGATGTAAACCTCAACTTGGCGGAGGCGGTAATTCTAGATTTTGATCATTTCTTTTTGCACACATTATAGCCAATGGTAACAGTTTATCTACACTGTCTGGTTCATGGTGTTGAACAGTGATGTCAACACTAACCGTACACACACTGAAGTACCTCTTAGTCTTTTTCCAGATCCTCTTATTCTCTTTACTAGAACCATGCCCTTTACATTATTAAGTGTTCAGAATGAAAGACAATGCACCAACGTTGCTTCTCAACCACTTCTCCTTTGACTCAGCTCCCCTGAGAATTTATCAGATTGTCTTAAGAGATCAGTTGAGGTCTGCTGACATATCCTTGTTATAGCAACCACTGACAAGAATCGTGTGAAGATTAAATGATTACAACGGAGAAATAAACGAAGGGCAAACTTTTTTTAGTCTTGGTACGAGAGGAAATGGGTGGGAACGCTCGAAACAATGGAACAATAGAACAATCTTTTTTAATAGTTGTGCGTTGCTCTTCTGGTAAAATGGTTGAAATAATAATGTCTTAACGTTGCACTGATGGTCACATGAATACTCCTAAACTAGAGCTAGTGATTGATAGATAAGTTTGATCAATTTATGAATGAAGGATTTCTTTAAACCGGTTCAATCTGTTCCAGATCAGGGGTGGTCTCAGTCCCAGTTTGGCTCGGAAGATAAAAGCCACGTTTCCTGTGATGTGTGGTCCGACTCCTTGATGTGCTGTTTGGTTATCATATATGCATGTAGGGCTCCAGACTGGGAATATAATGGCTATTGTTTTTGCAAAGGCAAGGGCTGGAAAAGGCCAACTGTGCGGAAACACATTAAATATTTAGAGAGTGGGTCTGCCTCTCCTCGTGCTAACCTGCCTCTGTCCTCTCCTCCAGATGGGGTAACGTGACCTCATTTCTTCTTGGCTGTGCCACATTCCTCTCAGCCAATGTGGTTGTCACAGTGTCTGTGCGACGGGGTCTTTATGAATTAATGTGGTTTTGGCTCAGATGCTCGTTTAGGTGTCGTATCTGGTGCATAACCAACTGTCGCTGGATATTAATGATGATTAGATTAGGAATAAAAGCATCTCCTTGCACATATTCTCCATGTGAGGATATTCATCAGTGCAATCAATTAAGGTTCCCTCGCTGCTTTGGTTTTACATGACGGCAGACTGTGAGGCATCAGTGTGCCGAGGACGGGGTGGTTTTGAAGATCAAGAGAGTTTGTTCAAGGACACCGTTGAGCTCTTAAAGGCATCGGCAGTCAGACCTCATAATGAAACACGACACCAGCTCTGTGACCATTGCAATCCCAAAGAGTAAACATTTCCCACAGTGACACAGCTTACTAGATTTCACAAACATGTAAAGGAAAGGCCGGAGGTCTTACCCTGGATGTCTGTTCCCACTGATGCGAACACTTGGATCATTGTCAAGACTAGAAGTTCTCCCAGAGCAGTGTTTAGTTTGAAAAAAAATAGAGCATGTTGAGAAACTAGAGAGCAGTGTTTTAAAACAGGGGTTCTCCAACTTCTGTAGTTTAAGGCCCACTAGTGAATGTGAGATGTGCGAGGAGCACCTTCCAAAGACAAAAAAATAAACCAGGTGGTAAATGTGTTATGCTACTGCCATTATGAATCCAAATTTAATGTATACAGGGTCATATCTGTTCTCCACATACTTTGGAGCTTTTTTTTATTGTTCAAAACCGTCACTTTTGCGTCACTGCATCAGGAGGAACGTTGGCGAGCTAACGATGACGAAGCATATGTGTCGGGATTCGCGTTGTGAAATTCAAATGTAACTGGGTCATTGAAGGTATGCTTTGTTTGAATCAGTTTTTATTTATTTATATGAATTATTGAGCACATCTAGATTTAAACATAGCTAGCTTTGATAATTACCAAAAATAATTACAACAGCCTAGCTAGCCACAAACTCGCATGCAGTAATCACGGGGGTATCGCATATATATATATATATATATATATATATTTTTTAATATTAGTAAGATAAACACACTCACACCTACAGTATAATTCAGAGTCACGAATTCACCTAACCTGCATTTCTTTGGACTGTGGGAGGAAACCCACACAGGCACGAGGAGAACATGCAAACTCCACACAGTCATCCCAACACATCATCTCTGTGATGTTTTCTTCCCATTAAAAAAAACGCACATGATGGTGCCGACACACACAAAGAAATCGCCGTTTTTAATCTTTTATGTAACATTATCATTTTGTTAAGCATCTACATGGGGAGGTGGCGTGGTGTTGCTCTGGCATTAAGCGTCTCTTTTATGGTGACGTATAATGTATTAATAACGGAACTACTACTACCCGATGGTCACCATGAAGCTCATCCAAGCTCAGGACCAAGTCCAGAGAAACAACAGATCTTTGACAGCTGCTTGAGAAAATGCACACACAGAAAGTCGTGTGCGGGGACATTTGGGCGAATGCATTTCAGTCGGGCTTAGAACCAGTTTCATTTATTCACTCATCACACATCCATCAAATTCATCTTGTTGTAAAGGATTGCAGCCAGCCCCTCTTTAGATGTCGGTAATGCATATGAAAACGTATTCTTTTGTCCTTTTACACAAGACAAATTGACAGAGCTGATGCATTTGTGAAAGTCTGCATAAAACCTTAGTAGTCGTGATTTATATGCCGATGTTTTATTCTCTTCGGATCACAGACTTCTTACTCTGAGTAATGACATGAGTGTATTTGAAATATCTTCATCCAATAGGTGTATTCTACCACTAAATACAACTGCATATTATATACCTGTGAAGGATATTAAGTCCATTACATTAGTAAAGCTAACTCTTAACTAACTTTAAATATTATGTCTGTGGAGAATGGAGCGTCGGTCTGTAAGGTTTGAGCAGACATCATCCCCAGCATGAACTAAATTAGATAAAAAATCCGATGTGTTCTGTAGTAGGAGTATAGTTATAGTTGCAACCGCTGTCTTTGTTAGTCCAGGCCACGTGTTGTTCACTTGCAGCAATGTAGAAATGTCTTGAAGACCAAGTCGGAGCTACACCCATGAAAAGCTCTCATTATGTTTCAGAAAAGTGGACGAGAGAAGTCCAAAGTGGTAGCTTCCATCAATGTTTGCGTCTTCCTGTACAATTAGAGTACTCTCTACAGTACAGGACACACGGATTCTCTTCTGAGGATAATGAAGGCTCTGGGATTCCCTTTGCTCGTAAAAAGCTTGACTAACCATTCCACCGTTTTCAATTCAACAACCGTTTATCCATTTATTTACAGCACATCTCCAATCTGACACATTTTTAGGCCTCCCACAGGCACCCGGGGTTCCTATGGTACAATTAGCAACCCACAGAACTGCATGATGGTGTCCAGAAACACAAGATGGAGCGCAGCATGACTCCTACATGCCCATATGCTCGCTGACAGCATTCACGCCACCTTTCAAGCTGCGGTGTATTTCTTATTACCGAGCTTGCAAGTCAAAAAGCATTATTCAGTATAAATTCATATTTCAGAATTAATATTTAACTTTCTTGTGATCAGTCTCTTCTTAAATTTCTTTAAAAAAATAATGGTTTTTAAGGCAATTTGGTCCATTCACTAAACTTGATTGTGCTATCTTATTGTGCTCCTTCGTCGTCACAAGAAACATGAATGAACTGAGCAGCATACAGTACAACTAAAATATTTGCAGGCAGCCTGTCCATCATTGTCTCCTGTATGTGTGCAGAATAAAAACAATTAATCTTCAGGCTTGTAGATAGACTGAGAAATAGTGACGGTGTTAGTCAGAAATATGTACCAGCCCTATAGGGAGGTACGAAAAGGAATTACAAATTGTTTAGTCTCAAAACGGCTCTGATCAATATTTTTATGTTTAACAATGGATGAAGTTATTACATATAATGTGAAAGGTGTTGCCCAGAATATTCCCTCAAAGTTCAGTTCAGTTCTCCAGTTGTAACTTCTCAAACGTCAGCTTATTGTTTGGGGTTTTTTACGGCCGGCAACTAAACTGTTTTCATTCACTCTCGCACCCTAGAAAGAAAGTAAATATTGGACTATGCTTTCTAATGCTGCTTTATGTTGCAGGATGTGTAAAGCACTGGCGGAGCAGCTAATATGTTCATATCAACTTTATGAAGTGATAACATGTGAATGTTGTGTTCATTGGCACCTGGTTATGTTTTAATGAGGGGGAGCAAACTTGGAAAGATGCGTAATACTCTGGGGCTCCTACCCCTGAAAAAACCCACCTAACCTCTTGGATTAACCCTCCACAACATCCCAAATATTAAAATCACCAGGGCTAATCATGGGGCTAAACCGTCATGAGCATCCCATCTCTACAGCCCAATCCCGTCTGATCAGCGAGGAACTGTTTGGTGAGCTGGCTGGCAAAGTTAGCTAACGTTAGTTCTCAAATCAGTTTAGCATTTCGGCAACAGTTCAATCCCTTTTAGCTACTTTGAGCTAATTTCAAATTTGCCTGATGTCAGTGGGCCCAACCAGGTTCATTCAACATACGCTAGCCTATCTTTTCCTCTGCTCAATTTTTAGTGCATGATCACAGTTAAACTTCATTGCTTCTTGTTACTTAGCTTTGTGAACTCCTGTGTGGATTGACAGAAAATGCATGCTGTGGCAAACAATCAGCATCGTGTTGGACAGAACCACCTCCAGGATCCTCCAAAAACCTTTTTTCAGTTGCTGAAAATAGTAAAATTATCATTGATTCCTCCTCAAATATATATACGCCCGCTTGTTTTTTTTTTTTTATTTAAAGACAAAGGTCGTGTAGCAAAACTATAACTTTGCTCCCTCTAATCTCCAGAAGACTTTTTGTCATTTCGGAAACTGCAGATAAAGTTCTGGCCTTTGGATCGGGGAAGTGAAAGGCAATCGGGACGTCCCCACTACTTTCAACGATCATGCAATTATATTATTTCCAAGGACTGAGCACAGCTGAAGCAGTCTGATAGAGCAAGGTCTGTATGATTGAAGCATTTCTCTGAAGTTTCTTGAGGGGACCTTTTTTAATAGGACTGGCTGGCAGTAATGCAGGGGCAAACTTTGACTCATTCATCCCCTGAAGGTAATTAACAGTTTGACCTGATTTCCTGTTCTTTGAAAGTTAAGTTCAGGATGTGGTCAAGAAGATTATAAATAATCTCCAATTCCAAATAATTACAATCAATAGGAGTTGTATGTGCATAAAACATGAAATCCTGCAAAACATTAGATTAGATTTGTGTGCAGGACGGGGAGGCTTTTCTTATGAATTTAGAAATCCGCTTATTACAGTTACCTGCTGGAATAAAGGAAACATTTGCTGTCACGCTGAAGATATTTCTCCTGCTGTGAGAAGGATTGGCTCAAACGCACGATATGCAATATATATTTGTTTTGCTTTTGCAACAAATTAAAACAAACAAATTAAAACAAATTAACTTGTTTATTGTTAAATGGGAACCCAGAAGGGCAATGAGGCAAAGTGCTTTAGTTCAGCTGAGAAGCTTTGGTTGCAATGATACGAAATATCCGCTAAAGTAAAAATAGTATTGATTTCACCTCCGTTATTTGTGTTTCTCAGCACGTGTGCATGTATGATGTGACGGTTGGTCTTTTTGCCATTTGTCCCGCCTCTCCTCCACTGTGATTGGACGGCTGTTTTAAAAGTGCCAGTGTTGGAGTGAAATCTTGGACCAAAAGTTTTACCCCAAAAACTCCAAACATGCAACGGTCGGAGCAGAAAACATAATCGGAGCCTTGTCACGCTGATGGAGGAACAATTGCAGTTTTAATATTGCAGTTTATTGCCACGGCCATACAATGAGCTTTGAGTCCCACATCGCCAGCATTAATAACAACCCATACGAAGGAGTATATGTGGCAGAGCACTGGCCCTGTTGCATTATTACTGTTGCATTGGACCGACCTCACAACGCTAAACTGCACTGTGACAAGAAGTGAAATAGGAGCCGAGGTGACAGATGGAAGGGCTTTCAGAGCAGTTGGAGTGAGTAGAGCAGAGAGGATGTGATTCAGTTGGGAGGATGTGATATGATGAGCCAGTGAAAAGATTAGTTTTCAGCCTGCACTAGAGGAGTGACAGTTTTATTTGCAGGTGTTGTGTTTTACTTTCAGGTTAATGTTTACCTTGCAGCTCTCTCTGCTCAGTAACCTTGTGGTGCTCCTCCTCCTATCAGACCAGTTTGAGGCCTCTTATGGTTCACCCTGGACCCAACTTAGAAATATCATTTGTCAAGGGAGACGAGAATAATAAACATACCACCCCAACTCTCTGAACTCACACTTGTATATTCAACTAAAAACCCCTGAAAGGCATATTCTACTTTTTTCCCCATCTACTAACCAGTATTTTCTTTTTCTCAACAGATTTCTTTCTACTATTATACTATACTACTACTACTACTATAGCTATTAAAAATCATCTTGAATATGTTCGATGTACTTGTAAATGTCTAGTTAAACAAAGACGTGGGACTACAAAAACAGTCGTGAGGACATGTACAGCTGTGTCCACTGGGATGTTCTTGTAGACCTAATCTCTTTCTGCTTGTGTTTCAGCTGAAGGCGTGCCCCAAGTGTTTTACTTTGGGCCATGTGGGAAATACAATGCTATGGTTCTGGAGCTGCTAGGCCCGAGTCTAGAGGACCTCTTTGACCTTTGTGACAGGACCTTTTCACTGAAGACCGTCTTAATGATAGCGATTCAGCTGGTGAGTTCAACACATTTTATGACACATTAAGTTGTTTTAAAATAGCTTCCACTTCTTATGAGTTACCCAACACTTCCTGCATGTTTCATAATAAAAGCCTTCCAGGGTTTTGAAGGGATTCTGCTCCCTGAATCAGTGGATGGGTTAAAATGTGGGTTTTAAACAGGTGGAGGAACTTTGAAAAAATAAAATAGTTCCTAACACAGTCCAGTTAATTTGCTGGAGCTTTAAAGCTAATCTCACGGTCTTTCTTTGCAGTTTGCTCAGTTGACAACTGAACAAAAAGTGAGATGCAGTTGAAAGCTGTGGAAAGAGCTAGTAAGTGGACCTGGAGTCGAGAGTTAAAGAAGCATATTGCGTTTCCTTTAACAGCAGCAAATTTAAATGGCAAAAAAGAGCTACTAAATATGATCTGTGAAGTGAATCGAGGAACGAAATATTTGAGATTTTACAGCAGTTGAACATGCGTCCCAGAATGCCTCGTACAAAATACATATTTTATTTTTAATAAACTGCTTGTATTGCTGCTTTACAGTCTCAATAAATTACAGTGGGTACGGAAAGTATTCAGACCCCTTTAAATTTTTCACTCTGTTTCATTGCAGCCATTTGCTAAAATCAAAAAGTTCATTTTATTTCTCATCAATGTACACTCAGCACCCCATCTTGACAGAAAAAACAGAAATGTAGAATTTTTTGCAAATTTATTAAAAAAGAAAAACTGAAATATCACATGGTCATAAGTATTCAGACCCTTTGCTCAGTATTGAGTAGAAGCACCCTTTTGAGCTAGTACAGCCATGAGTCTTCTTGGGAATGATGCAACAAGTTTTTCACACCTGGATTTGGGGATCCTCTGCCATTCTTCCTTGCAGATCCTCTCCAGTTCCGTCAGGTTGGATGGTGAACGTTGGTGGACAGCCATTTTCAGGTCTCTCCAGAGATGCTCAATTGGGTTTAGGTCAGGGCTCTGGCTGGGCCAGTCAAGAATGGTCACAGAGTTGTTCCGAAGACACTCCTTTGTTATTTTAGCTGTGTGCTTAGGGTCATTGTCTTGTTGGAAGGTGAACCTTCGGCCCAGTCTGAGGTCCAGAGCACTCTGGAAGAGGTTTTCTTCCAGGATATCTCTGTACTTGGCCGCATTCATCTTTCCTTCAATTGCAACCAGTTCAGTCCCTGCAGCTGAAAAACACCCCCATAGCATGATGCTGCCACCACCATGTTTCACTGTTGGGATTGTATTGGGCAGGTGATGAGCAGTGCCTGGTTTTCTCCACACATACCGCTTAGAATTAACGCCAAAAAGTTCAATCTTTGTCTCATCAGACCAGAGAATCTTATTTCTCATAGTCTGGGAGTCCTTCATGTGTTTTTTGGCAAACTCTATGCGGGCTTTCATGTCTTGCACTGAGGAGAGGCTTCTGTCGGGCCACTCTGCCATAAAGCCCCGACTGGTGGAGGGCTGCAGTGATAGTTGACTTTGTGGAACTTTCTCCCATCTCCCTACTGCATCTCTGGAGCTCAGCCACAGTGATCTTTGGGTTCTTCTTTACCTCTCTCACCAAGGCTCTTCTTCCACGATTGCTCAGTTTGGCTGGACGGCCAGGTCTAGGAAGAGTTCTGGTCGTCCCAAACGTCTTCCATTTAAGGATTATGGAGGCCACTGTGCTCTTGGGAACCTTGAGTGCTGCAGAAATTCTTTTGTAACCTTGGCCAGATCTGTACCTTGCCACAATTCTGTCTCTGAGCTCCTTGGGCAGTTCCTTCGACCTCATGATTCTCATTTGCTCTGACATGCACTGTGAGCTGTAAGGTCTTATATAGACAGGTGTGTGCCTTTCCTAATCAAGTCCAATCAGTTTAATTAAACACAGCTGGACTCCAATGAAGGAGTAGAACCATCTCAAGGAGGATCAGAAGAAATGGACAGCATGTGAGTTAAATATGAGTGTCACAGCAAAGGGTCTGAATACTTATGACCATGTGATATTTCAGTTTTTCTTTTTTAATAAATTTGCAACAATTTCTACATTTCTGTTTTTTCTGTCAAGATGGGGTGCTATTAATGAGAAATAAAATGAACTTTTTTGATTTTAGCAAATGGCTGCAATGAAACAAAGAGTGAAAAATTTAAAGGGGTCTGAATACTTTCCGTACCCACTATATACATGATTTTATACGCACAATGCCTACAAAGGTCCATGGAGCAGGTGGGCTACCAGTGCAGAGTCTGCAAATTATCAGTGTGTCAGTCCACACGCACTATTGCTCAGAGTCGGGTAGGCTGTCAAAAAGAGCAAAGCCATCACTGAATCTCATTAGGTTTGAGCAGCTCAGATGGTGGTCTTTCAGCTTTTCGTCGCCTCAGACATCTCAAAATTTCTAGCATTTCAATTTGTCAGCACAAAATCTGCAGTGCTCTTGTAATGCAGATAGCCCCTGCAGATTGGTAAGGAAACCAGCACAACATAAGCACGATGTTGCAGAACAGAGAGAAGCCAAAGTCTGCGCCTCAGCCAATCTCTCCCCTGTGTTTATGACGTCGGTCTCCTTTTATTTTTTTGGCACAAGTGAGTGATCCCACAGTAAGTGCAGTGAGCTCCTACACAAGCTCCTTTTCTTTGGGAGTGTTTCAGGATCCTTCAAGATCAAACCCTAGTAAATGATTTTATAACTCTCACCATAACTTATTCTTCCCTTTGTGTTTGAGCTGCTCTTACAAATTGGAAGATGACTGCTATGAGCTCTTGGTTAAGATTTACATTAATAAACACATTGTCGTTCAGATCCTAATCACTGGTGCTTTCTGAGTCCTAAGTCCCAGCAGGACGGTTTTGCATCTCAGTTGGTGGCTTGAAATTCTGGCTCAACAGCAACAGAAGCTTTTGTTGTGTGATGTAACGGATCACTGTGGTAGCTGTGCAACATAGGGCTTAAGCAAATAGTGAATCAATCATCAATCAATCAGCATAAATTACTATTTTATAAATGCTTTCTCACCCAGTTTGCAATGCAGGGTTTCTGATCTGCATTTGTAGTCTCCTCGCTGAAATGACTCCGGCGAGATCGCTCGAGTCTTTTTCCCAGACTTGAGAAATCTCCTTCCAGAGTCAATGAGGACATCGGTAAAAACGCTGGCAGTCTATATCACTCTGCTCTTGAAAAGAGTGACATATTGTAGCAGTCAACGGTCATTAAAATATCAGTTTTGAGTAAATTTTGACATCTTGACTACGCTTTGCACACTTTTAGGCCTGTGTTGCTGTTTTTTGCTGACTCTGCTGTATTCTTTCTCAACAGATTTCTCGAATGGAGTATGTGCACTCTAAAAACCTCATCTATAGAGACGTGAAACCTGAAAACTTTCTCATCGGACGGCAAGGGAATAAAAAGGAACACATCATCCACATCATTGACTTTGGTTTGGCCAAAGAGTACATCGACCCCGAGACCAAAAAACACATTCCATACAGGGAGCATAAGAGCTTGACTGGCACTGCCCGATATATGTCCATCAATACACATCTAGGCAAAGGTAAGATGAGTTTGGTTCTGTTGTCCTGACATGTTTATTATGTCTTGTGGATTGTTGCTTTATTCTTGAGGTTTCTCAGTGAAACGTTATCAAATCTTGTTCATGTAGAGCAAAGCCGGCGAGATGACCTGGAGGCCTTAGGCCACATGTTCATGTATTTCCTTCGTGGGAGTCTACCATGGCAAGGTCTAAAGGTATGTTACACCATCAGTCTGATCTGATAATTATTATTGTTTTATTTGTAGTTCTTTATGAACACTTTGAGAATGTATTGAAAGTCTGTCTTGTGTGACAATGCGAGTATAAAGACTTTAGTTATCAGTGTTTTCTTTGCTACAACCAAAGAGAAATAAGAAGTGATGGTATGAAAAGTAGATTAACCAATTCTGCATCAAGAAACAAGAACATCTGAAGAACTAGTTTTGGCATATTTCTGATCAGACATCAGAATCGGGTCATATGTCTTTCCGTTTTTGATTCTCCTGCAGGCCGACACGTTGAAAGAACGATACCAGAAGATTGGAGACACAAAACGAAACACTCCCATCGAGGTCCTTTGTGAGAACTTCCCAGGTACGCTGATGACGGCTGTAATGTAGTTATGGGTCACGCTGGAAAATGATCACATAGAGATAAGCTGTGATTTTACCGAGACCTTTCCAAATGAAATGTCATCCCAATATATAATTAGAATCCATATTGAAGGTTAAACCGTCTTTTAAATACTTGTTTAATTCAGAGGAGATGGCCACCTACCTGCGATATGTGAGACGGTTGGACTTCTTTGAAAAGCCAGACTATGAATATCTGCGGACTCTGTTCACTGAACTGTTTGAGCGAAAAGGATACACCTTCGACTACACTTACGACTGGGTTGGCAGGCAGATAGTAAGTAACGCACGCAAACGACTCACGGATACATTTGGAGACGGTCAACAATTCTTTTCAGTGAGCTGCTTGACGGTCCAGAACTGAACTGGTTATTATCCCCCCCCCAGCCCACACCAGTGGGGTCTGTCCATATAGACTCTGGAGCGTTAGCTGTGCCGAGAGAGAGCCATCCTCACAGAGACCGGCCCTCACAGCACCCACCAATCAGAAATCAGGTATGCCAGGTTTTGTTCAGAGTAGTGGGAGTGTGTGTGTTCCAGGCTTTTGTTCCAGTGAAAGCAAGGGAGGCAGTGCATTACAACCGGAAGTGTATGTATGAGGTAAAACACCGATTCCCCTGCTTGCATCTGACCTCTGAATAAAGGAAACTAACACAAGATCTTGAACAATACAGGATTCTGCAGTTATCAGGACTCGTGTGCATGAAGAGTTTCAAAGCTTTTATGAAAACTATTCTGATGAGATGTATTTGTTTTTTTTAAAGAGGGATAATTACAATAAGATGATTTGTCATATATTTTGTCAAAACACCATTAATCCCAATTATCTCTATAATCCTGTTTTGGTTGGCTGTTGAGTATTTCTAAATGAATTTCTCTGATTAGCAGCAGCCCACAAAGATAACTGAGATGATGCTTTGTAGTCATTCACATACTGTACTACATTGACATTAGCGCCGGGCGATATTTATATGATGATTTATAGTCTCAGTGAAATATTATTGTGATTCAATCATACATCGTCATACACAATTGCGTCATCTAAATTGATGTGTCAAATATTTAATTCACACAGGAGAAAACTGGCTTCACCATGTGGTTATTTCCAAATACACTATTCATTTATTGATCCGCCAGATAACGGGCTATTTGGTGATTTATATCGTTACCAAGATTTGAAATGACCTCTATCATGATAGAAGACTTATCGCCCAGCCCTAATTGAAATGAGAAAGTGAAGGACTTGATTTCTTCACCAGATCGATGGAACAGGTGAGACCGTTAGAAAATGTGCTCGGGATTAATTAAGGATATTTCTGGCCAGCGTTTTCGAGGGACTGCAGTTCTCCCCCCCCCCCCCGTTGCTCATGTTTTAGTTCGTCTTGCTCCAGATGTGGTGCGGGGGGGAATAGGAACGTTTCTGCCAATCAAGGATTACAGTAACTCTTGTTCAGTGCTCTCTTTATCGCGCTTGTGTGAACTGCTTTGGTTTATATTGTTAATATAAACAAACAAACAAACAGATTCTTTCATAGATAATTTAGATTTATTTTGTGTGTGATGTGATGAGATTGAGATGTAAGGGCTTACCTCCATTTGGCTTCAGGCTCATTAGTTTCTATTTCAGTTCTTTGGCTGAAGCTTTGATTTTGATTCACTCTTTTATTTTGTTGCTTTTTTTTTTTTTTTCTCCATTTCTCATGCTGCTTTGCATGGTACCTGGCCACGCACACCCAACTATCCATCTCTCCTAACGCGATTATCCCGCCACCCTCTCCCATCGCACCCACCTACCCCACTTCCCCTCCCATCACCGACGCCCCCCGACTCCTGAGCAGACAGCGGTCTCAGATCGACGAGGAGCATGGGAGGTACAGCCCACACGCCAAGCAAACTCCTCCTATCTGACCTCCCACCTGGCAGCGGACAGGCACGGGGGCTCAGTGCAGGTATACACCCCTCACCTGATCAACCCCCCCCCCCCCCAAATTTCGATGGAGTCAGATCTGTCTCATAGGATCTAATCCACATATTTCTTTATCATTTGAATACTTTGAACCAGACTTCACTGGCAAGTTTGGCATTTACAAATCGTGATTCTGCATTTTTAAGATGTGAAGATATAAAACTTAACTGTCGACCCTTTAAAAGAAATTGTTTTTAAATTATTTTCCTGAAAACGGAATGAAATTACAGCTCACAATTGATCTGAAAAAATGGTGTTTCCAAAATATCGGTATTTCAAATTTCCGTTACCATTTCAATGGCAGTTGGCAGACATTTTACCTTGTATTTTAGCCTTGTATGTGAGACAGATCTACAACCATGTACACCCCCC